AAAAAAAAAAATGTAAATGTAGTTTTAAATATATATTTAAATTTTTGTTCTACTTACAAAGCCTGAATAAGACATTTTGTAATGTCAAAGGCATTAGAACTATATATTTCTTTGCATATTTTTTTGTGATTATTTATCTGACCTTTTCACACCCAAAAATTGAATTGCAGACTGTTTCATATATCTTGGTTAGACAATGCACAGTACACATTGGGACTCTGAAACTTTTTGTGTTAACACACTGTGACTGTGTGAAAGATTACTGAAGGGAACAGATTATTTTACAATGTTCCCTTCAGTTAAGAAAATGAACTGATCTCTGCTAGTATGCATTTCCATAGCATGGCCAAGATTTGTGAAATGAGTTGTATCTTTATTGATAACTAATTTGATGTATGCCTTTTTATACATTGAAATTTAAAAAGTCATTATTTCTTCTATATAACAAAATACAATATATTCAGTGTTGTTAAAAACTGAACATTTTACTCAAAGGAAATCTTAGTTATAAATGAGTCATTAAATTATTAATGTCAAATTAAATGTATGTAATCTACTGTTTTCAGTTTTTTTAAGTTTAATTAATAATACAGTGAACCCTCAATCTATTGTTCTCAGATGTATTACTTTTCCAGAAACATTGTTCAATTTCTAGGATGCTTGCACAAATAGGATTTATGCAGGGGCCTAGAATGAATAAAAAAAAAATTATTTATTACTAGAAGATAGAATTTCTATTCTTTAATTGAAATTTGATGATGAATTCAAAGGGTGCAGAAGTATTATAACTTAAATTACTTGTATTAGTGTAATTTAAGAACAGAATAAACTAAAGTAACATTTTCATAATAATGAAATGCTAATAGTGAAAGCTAAATTCACATTCCAGTTTGATGTAAATAAAAGTTTTAATTTTAAATAATAATGGAAGCTGTTTGAAAGAAATAAAATATTGTTTTAAAATTTAATCTGTTAATTTTTCAGAACAATATTATTCACTCACTGTTGTCAAATATAAATACAGATTGTATTTTAGTCATATCACAACAAAATTTTAACATATAAATTTTTATTTTTTTTTTAATTGAGAATTCTTTGAAAATCCAATCAACATATCAACATTTGATAGCTGATTAGACTATGTGTTTTGACCTAGTAACTCAATTGGAAAAATCTACTGGATCTACATTTCTGTATTAAGATCAGTTGAATTGTTTTTAACTTTTTATTTATAATTTATTATTTATTAAAACATAAATATTATTTAAAATAATTGGAAAATTATCTATAATTTGTTGTATTGTAAGATTCATAAATAATATAAGTTATTTATCAGAGTTTATTTAATTAAAATATAATTAATAATAATCTCAAATATTAAAGTTATAATGTTTTATTTTTAGATAATGCTATCTAATGTGTGGAGTTCTGAGTATGACTGCATCTCCAACATTAAGATCAGTGTCTCCTAAAAAATCTATTCTTAAACAAGAAAGTATTGCATGCCAGAAAGTACAAATTGAAATGGCTGATACTACTAATGATAAATCTCAAACATCTCAAGTTGGAGATGCAAATGTCAGTAATTCTGATTCTTACATGAGTAGTATGCATGTTGATCTTAGGCCTGTATATGATCGGTAAGCATAATTTAATTTAATAAAATAGTTAAACCTACTAACTGTATTACATATTTTTGTATTAGTTTTTTAGATTTTAATACAAACACTTGCATTTCAAACAAACAAGAACACACATTAAAGAAAAGAAATTCAATGTTTTATTAATTTTATGTAATTAAAAATAACACTTCCATATTGTTTTTAATATATAAATAATACATTTAATATAATTTAATATAAAATAAAAAATTAATCTTAATTAGTACTTTAGATGTGATTTTTAAATTTAAATGTACCTGAAATATTTGTTTTATTCTTAATATTTTCTGATGAGCTAACATTTTCAGTAAAAAATTGTAAATTTTATTTTTATTTTTATAGAATTAGAATTAGTTAAGAATTTTTGACGTGATCAAGTATAATAATTAATGCTTCATGTCAGAAATATTTTTAAGTTTATTTTAGTTCCAANTTTGAAAATCCAATCAACATATCAACATTTGATAGCTGATTAGACTATGTGTTTTGACCTAGTAACTCAATTGGAAAAATCTACTGGATCTACATTTCTGTATTAAGATCAGTTGAATTGTTTTTAACTTTTTATTTATAATTTATTATTTATTAAAACATAAATATTATTTAAAATAATTGGAAAATTATCTATAATTTGTTGTATTGTAAGATTCATAAATAATATAAGTTATTTATCAGAGTTTATTTAATTAAAATATAATTAATAATAATCTCAAATATTAAAGTTATAATGTTTTATTTTTAGATAATGCTATCTAATGTGTGGAGTTCTGAGTATGACTGCATCTCCAACATTAAGATCAGTGTCTCCTAAAAAATCTATTCTTAAACAAGAAAGTATTGCATGCCAGAAAGTACAAATTGAAATGGCTGATACTACTAATGATAAATCTCAAACATCTCAAGTTGGAGATGCAAATGTCAGTAATTCTGATTCTTACATGAGTAGTATGCATGTTGATCTTAGGCCTGTATATGATCGGTAAGCATAATTTAATTTAATAAAATAGTTAAACCTACTAACTGTATTACATATTTTTGTATTAGTTTTTTAGATTTTAATACAAACACTTGCATTTCAAACAAACAAGAACACACATTAAAGAAAAGAAATTCAGTGTTTTATTAATTTTATGTAATTAAAAATAACACTTCCATATTGTTTTTAATATATAAATAATACATTTAATATAATTTAATATAAAATAAAAAATTAATCTTAATTAGTACTTTAGATGTGATTTTTAAATTTAAATGTACCTGAAATATTTGTTTTATTCTTAATATTTTCTGATGAGCTAACATTTTCAGTAAAAAATTGTAAATTTTATTTTTATTTTTATAGAATTAGAATTAGTTAAGAATTTTTGACCTAATCAAGTATAATAATTAATGCTTCATGTCAGAAATATTTTTAAGTTTATTTTAGTTCCAAAATTATCATACAGTAGCGATTTTCAAAAATAATTGAGGGTTCAGTGGAAAAACAGTACAAATGACAAATAGTGATAAACTTTAACATTGATAAAAAAAAAAAAATTAACATATTTTATTATTTTATTAAAAACATGTTATTAAATTTTAAAAATATGCAATTCTCATTACTTCAAAATTCATGAGCCAAAATAATCACAACTTTGAATTATCGAGTTTCAAATTATTCAAGGTTTACATATTCCTGCACAATATGCCAAATGCCATGTAACTGATGTAATTTATTAAACAAAGAGAACGTGGCTACATATACAGAATGCTTTTTTTGTTAATTAATAATAATTACTGTAATAATAATAATAAAAAATTACAGGTAAACAGCACATGTCTGGTGAGAACCTCACAGGTTGCCAGATAGGTTTCATAAAAAGTAAAGCAGAATTTCTTGAAATGTAGCCCAAAAGTAGAAGTTGCCCAAATCTAGTATCCTGGAGCCTTACAAATATATCAATCTTCTACTTGTAACCCAATTTTGCAATCCCAAAAACCAGTTATATTTTATAAGAGGAAAAAAAAAGTAGCCTGACAATGTGTTACTGTAAAAGCAAAGCCACATTGACCAGATTAGAGTTGTTCTTGGTCTGTTGTTCTCTTATAGCATGGAGGCACTTCCATCTAAATGAATGACCTAACATATGCTGATGACAGTTTGGACAGAATTTTCACTTCAGATTTTGAAGTAGCTATTATTAGAACAGTTACGTGCAGTGGCGTTACAGGAGCGGAATTCCCGATCCGGAAATTTTTCAACTTTTAGAGAGAGGTTTTTCCGCTAGCACTTTCAGTAGTGTAAAACTACCATCATCAGGCGGTACATAGAATTCNTTAGAACACTTACGTGCAGTGGCGTTACAGGAGCGGAATTCCCGATCCGGAAATTTTTCAACTTTTAGAGAGAGGTTTTTCCGCTAGCACTTTCAGTAGTGTAAAACTACCATCATCAGGCGGTACATAGAATTCGATAGTTCGAGCTTTCCGAACAATATTCTGACGGTTTTTTGAAAAATTCTCAGTATCGAATATTTCGAACGATATTTCCGACGGTTCGGCTGATTATTGTTTTCGAATATTATTTAAAGGTTCTTACATCATAGCACGAAGAAATGATGATAAATAAATATTAACATTAGAAATGTCTGTTAATGAACATAGTTCGTTCAAGTATGCGCACCAACACAAAATAAGCATATAAGCAACGAAGGAGTATTTTCATCTTGGGTTGAGTTGTTTGAACGCTGTTATCCAAATTTGTGGGAGCTCGAGGGTTGGGGAGTTGCATGGTATAGTAGTAGAAATAAAGAGTGTCTCCCAAATAAATAGCTCCTTTAGTTCGTTGCAGCGTTTTAGTAACTTTGTTTCGTTCCATAGAGGCTGGTAGTTATGGTCGAGTACTCTCTTTGCTAATTCCGTAACTGGCCTATTATTTTTGATGTCTTCTTGATGTTCATGGATTCGTGAACTTAATTTTCTAGCGGTAGCTCCTATATAATTAATCTCTTCACCAGTTAGTGTGTGCTTTAGCAGGATTTGGTAGATACCGGATTTTTCATTCAACTGGTACTTATCCCTATCGTTACATAGTAGTCTTCTTAGATTTGGTTGCGGTGTAATTGGTAGAATATAGCCATTACTTCTAAAAATATGTGCAATTTTTAAGGAGATAGGGAATAAGTAAGGTATCGGGGGGTGTGCTATTTTTAAGTCTTCCTTATTGGATAGGAAAGATTGTGGAAATAACCTGTTTTTTACACGATTTTTTTTTAGAAAAATGAATTTTGAATGTGAGTAACCTGCTTTTAACATGATAGATTGAATAATGGATAATTCATTTTCAACTAGCACCTGAATAGAAGGGAGAAGGTATGCTCTCCGTATTAGCAAAGATATAGCTGAGTTTTTGTAATGTGGTGGTTGGTAAGCGGCGGCTGGAATGATTTGTGGAGTATTATTATTTCAATGATGGACGGAAAATATAAGCTCCGGAGATGTACTTATATCTAAGTCTAGGAAAGATATTCTATTATTTTCTTGCTCTTCGACAGTAATTCTTCCTAACCAAAATTATTCACAACTAATACCTCCTATTATTAAATATTGCAGCCATAAAGAACACAAAAAGTCCAGACTTGCAACCTAAATTAGACTTTTCTACGTTGTCTACTATAGCACCAATGCATTCACCTAAAACCATAAGGGCAAATATGAAAACTCCAAAAATGGTAAAATCTTTTCTTGAATCAAATAACCTAAAATTGTTAGTAGCCGACAAAGACAAATGTTTTGTTTTATGCAGAAACAAAGATTTCCTCAATAGAGCTAACGAGTTCCTCGAACATTCTAGATCAATAGTACTAAAACAAGATCCTACTTCCACTGTGTTAAGAAAAGTGCACAAAGTAATTGCATTACCAGGAATTGTAGAATCTTTAGCTGGTCCTCTCAATCCTCCATCGAACGTCGCATGCCCTAGATTATTTTTCGAGGCAAAAACCCATAAACTGTCATGGCCACTAAGACCATTAGTCAACAAACGTTCCCATCCCACGTATCATCTTGAAGCAGCTCTAGCAAAACATATCACATCCTTAATCCCACATTCTGAGCTTGTAACTACATCCTCTACCGAAGCCAAATGTACCATCTTACAAAAATTAGGAAACCTCCCCTGTAACTCCTACCGTTTTTACAAAATCGATGTTATTTCTCTATATCCTTCGGTTCCGTATTTTGAGGCCATCATGCTGGCAAATATACTATTTCTCAATTCTAGTTATCCAGCATCACGTGTTTTACACTTACATGAAGCTCTTAGCCTTATTACTCAAAATAATTATTTCCAATTTAATGGGAAAATATATAAACAAACACAAGGCATACCAATGGGCTCCCCATTATCTCCTATTCTAGCCGAACTGGTCATGAGAAATATAGAACATCAGGTTTTCAATGCTCCTTTAACAATCCAATATCCTCTCATGTATCTACGGTATGTCGATGATGTGCTAATTGCGTGGGATAGTTCCAATGAGGATTTGCTTCAATTTACTCAAATATTAGCTTCTATTTATCCTACAATTAATTTTACTGTCGAAGAGCAAGAAAATAATAGAATATCTTTCCTAGACTTAGATATAAGTACATCTCCGGAGCTTATATTTTCCAATTAATTGGAATATTATTATTAATAAGTTTGATATGTTAAATAACTTGTAAAGTTTCATTAAAGGATGATATTTAGAAAATTAATTAAATGATGATACACATGTGAAAGAATTAAATTTCAGGACATTATAATTTTTAGTTTGTTTAGAATTTATATCTAACAACGTCTTGTACCATTGTTAGATATAAAAAATACTGACATTTTTTTGATGCAAAGTATTGTGAAATATTATTCATCTAAAGTTATTTAATACAGAACTTTTGTTAAATTAAATAGAATAATAATTTAATAAAAATAAACTTTTTAAATAATCATAGAGGAATCAGGAAAACAATAATTTTAAAAGGATATGTCTGTTTAAGCATTTTATCTTTTATAAATAGAAGTAAAGTCAATAGGTTTAGTTTTGAATAATTAATTAAACCATAAAAATGGATTTTTAATTTAAATCATTTCAAATCTTTAATAATGTGAGTATTTTGCTTAAATACTTTTATTTGATTTCTGTGTGCTGTTATTTTTTTAATCTTATATTCTATCTTATAACATATGATAAGAAACATAAATTGCATTGTTAAAAATAATTATATTATGTATAAATTAGAGTTATAAGTTATTTATTGAAATTATCCATTAAATAAAAGTCCCATAAAATGAGACTCTATTTCCATGAATTTTTATAGAGAAAATTATAATCCATTTTTGGATTCTAAAAATCCAAATATGAAAAAAAAATGAAAATAAGAGTAATAAATGATGTAAAAATAACGATATTTAAAAAGGATGTATGAATAAAATCCTTATTTCTATGTTTTGGTGAAATTTGGTTAAGTTTAAATGAATAAGATGATTTTTCTTTCAGTAAAATGTTGGTATCTATTTATGCAAAATTAATTAAATTTCATCAAAAATATGAAAAGAATAATTTTGAACTTGAGACAAAAAACCAATTGCACTTACATCAGAGATGTTAACTGAAAGAATCATTCTACAATTTTACAAAACATATATACTTAGAAGAATTACACTCACTGAGTATTTCTTATATGCATTGCTTAGCTTACAAAGATAAGGTGACAACTAGATTAGAATGTGGTAGATGGATGGACAATAAGGAAGCTAACACTTTTTCTAGAAAAATTTTAATTACTATTCAAAATCACCCAGACAATAATTTTATGAAACTAATAACAGAATACTGTAATAGGCAAATACTTTTATTGTGGAAACTAAAACCCACAGGATTTATCTGTAAGTTTATGTGTGTCTTTCTCCACAAAATCACCCAAACAGTTTAAAACATAACAAGATTATTCGTTGCACTGTAAAAAATTCCTTTTTCATTCGTTGCACTGTAAAAAATTCCTTTTTCTATGGCTGCAGCCACTTGGTGATGACAGCTTTCACTTTATCACTACAATGACCACATATATGTTCTTTCAAATGTGAATAAATTTGAAAATCAGAGGAGAACAGATTCAGGCTGATCAAGGATGTCACATAACTTGAAACTACTCAATATCCTTTATAATTTTCATCACTTACATTTCTTCATTCACTTGCAAACTTTGATGATAATGACAGTCTTCATATACTTTTCTAAGCTGATGATGGATTTCAGCAGGTGAATCTATTTGGCCCACAAAAATAACTGCTTGGACTTTGGAAGATCACTTTTTTAACTCTGTCATCATTTTGGGATGCTACATCACATCTGTTCAAAAGTTATTCATTCTAACCATTTATTGATACTAATCTGGATCATTACTAATTATCTGCATTGGAGTTACACTCAATGGTACTTTTGTTTTTAAGTTACGGACTTTATCTTTTTGATCATCCCTTTTATCTTTCATTACTGTGTTACAGTAATGAAAGATAAAAGGGATATATGTTTGAATATATATTTAAATATATACTGTATGTTTAAATATATGTTTGAAATTATTAATAGAGATTTTAAGGTACACAGATCAGTTTATAACCTTATGAAATTAATAAACATATGTTGTTAATAGTTTTAAATAACTTTAAATCATAATTTTAAACTTAAAAATTGATTATTAAATTCAATTTTTCAGGTTTTTAGTGGTGCTTATATGCCTTATTTTTAGTGTTTTGTCAACTATTGAACAGTATACAGATTTTGCAATTGAAATGTTATTTTGGATGGTAAGTTTAATTATAAATTAAGTTTTATATATATTATATACCAATAATGAGACAATTATTAAAGTATATTCATTTAATGATCACAACTTTTAATGCATAAGAAATATTTTGATAAATATATATATATATATATATTTATTTATTCTTATCTATATTAAACTAGATCCATACAGTGATGGATGTAGCTAGATTCTTTGAAAACACTGTTCATTACTAACATCTTCACATGAAAACATAGAAAAACATAACATAACAGTTTTAACTTTCATATAAAACATGCATGCAGTATATATGTAATTTCATGAAATTATAAACTTTGTGGAGCTCTATAAATAATTTTTGCACTGGTGCTAATGATACTCTTGTTCTGTATTATGTATATATAAGTTCAGATATATAGATTAATATTTTAAGCTACTATGTAGCTTATCGTATCTGTATATATTGTAAATCTAAATCACAAGACTGCATAAAGAAAGAAACTCAATGAACGATGGGTTACTCATTAATGATTTACAGCATAGTTAATGTGAATTTCAGAATATCATTTCAAAAACATGATTGTATATATTATTTTTAAATATTTAAAAATATTTTTATAAATTCAAAATAATGTTTATTTAGGCAAACTGGTTTTTATTAGTGAAAAAATTGTCCTATCATGTTTTAAGTGAAAATCACTAAAGTGTATTTAAAAAATTGCAAAACATAAATTTAGAAGTTTGTTCAATAAAATTCAGTAAACTGATTTTGCAATTTTTTTAACCAATTTTTCAAGACTCCTAGACTTTCAACTCAGTTTTTATTGAATGTATTTAGCAGGGCTATGGAGTCGCGTAAAAATCTACCGACTTCGACTTTTCCTTACCATCCGACTCCGACTTCTACCAGGGGCGGACTTGTTACCAGAAGAGACCTGGGAANTCTGTGGTCAGAGTGGTCAGAATCAGAGTCAGATGGTTTAACACAGGAGTTAGTTATTAAGCGTCAAAGTGGTTGAACTAAATCATGTCCTCATGCACATTCTAACATCTTAGGCGAGAACATCTTAACGGGTTTTATTGTACTATTATAAAATGGCAAAAAAAGCTTACTTTGAGGGTAGAGACGAGTTTTATTTTTTATTTTGAACGCTAATAACAAGTAAAATATTCATTAAGAGATATGACACATGACCAGTTTTATGTCTTCACCCTGTCGATCTTTAATTAAGAACCAAAATTTAATAGTATTAATGCCCCTTTATACGCAAGCTACAGTGCCATATTTCGTTTCTTAAACTTTACCCATTCTGAGATATTGTTTAATATCTCAGAACAGAAAATAAAGAAATTAAACAAATTAGATGCCAACACACATGCGTGTGAATTTTTCTCCTTTTATTGACTTTTTTGAGCGGTTCGGGAGGTCTCCAAACCTGTATTTTTGCAAATAAAAAAAAGTTGGAGGGTCAAATTTGACGCAATTCCAATACTTTTCTATTTTATATACATAACAAGTTGGGAAGTAAAAAGGAGTCAGAGTTGGCGGATTTTTTGACAACTCCAACTCCAGCTAAAACACCAAAATTCCACAACTCTGACTCCACAGCTCTGGTATTTAGAACAATTCATATGCTTTTTGAGCAAACTTTGAGATTTTTTGATTTCTCCTCAGTAAATATACTATTAAATATAATTTACAATAAGGTTATTTATATGTTAAAAGTTGTAATATAATTTTAATCACAAAAGACACATTCTGTCCAAAAATTATTTTTTGAAACCACCATTTATTCTGATCATGTGTTCCAGAACACCATCGACAACCTGACCTTTCTTTGTAGGCTACTAGGTCATCAGGCTAAAACATTCTTTTAAAAAACACACAAAAATGTCCAATTAAAACATTAAAAGTAAAAAATTGGAACTGGCGGCCTTACAGACGTCTTGAACTTGCATCCTTTCCAGTTAGGGAATTTCAATCCTTTATATTCACTTGATAAATGCGCTGTCTTTTGTGATTAAAATAAATTAACATCCAGCGAAATTCTACAAACAAAAGATGTAATATAAGTAAATTGCTGAGCAAAGTGAGGAGGAAACAACATGAACAAGGTTACATTAAGTTCACTTTGTGCCCGATTCTAATGTGACACCAGTTTTGAAAACCAGATAGTCCGAAAAAACATGCATTAAAATCAAGAAAACATATAAATTAAAAAAAATTTTTTAATTAAATAAAAGAAAAAATGGTGCATTTAAAATAATTTTAAAAATTTTACAAAAGTTTAAAAGGGAAGTTATATTTTAAAAATTTGTTAAATTTAACAAATTTAATATTTTAAATGTTAAAATAATAGTATATTGTTTAAAAAACATGGACACATGATTTTTTAATTGCAGATTATTTATAAATTTTTGTGTTGTACACTTTAAAAATGTTTTTAGTTACATAAATACTAATTTTTTATGACTGGAATAAAAAATAATGTTAATAATCATAATATTATAGGAAACAGTATTAGTAGTATTTTTTGGAGTAGAATATATTGTTCGATTATGGTCAGCTGGATGCCGAAGCAAATATATGGGATTTTGGGGACGTCTTCGGTTTGCTAGAAAACCTATTTCAATTATAGGTATTTAAATTTGATATTTTCTAACTTTATTTAAGTACTTGCTATAGTATATATTTTTAATAAGATGTTCTTATTTTATATCTTATTGAGTTATTCAATATTTAGTTTATTTAGAAATAAGATAAATATTTAGTCCAATATATATATATATATATATAATTATAACAATAGTTTAGACAGAGTAAATTTAATATACAGGGTTTTCAAAAGAGAATGGTCGGGTTTTGGGAGACCTGTGAAATATAACACCTTAAACAACTTATATTTATCTATCAATCAATATCTAAATGATGTTGCAGAATACATCCGTGTGATGAATGCTAGAATTAAACTGGGACACCATCAACTGGGCTATTCTAACTGGGCACTATACATATGGGTAACAAAATAAGAAATGAATAAATAGACAAATAACATATTTTTTAATTGAAAATTAAGTAGACATATTTTAAAGTCTCTCTTTAATCCTTTTTCACCATCTAACACAGAAGTAACAGTAAATTGGCTTTGAAGATATAATAAATTGAATAAAATAAAGACATAAAGACTATGCAAATAATGCACAATTTTCATGCAAAAATTGTTTGTGCATATCTAAAGCACCACCAGAGGGCTCGAAGCAGTAGTTATATATGGCTACAGGACACAATAGTTATTGTAAGAAAAACTTTTTATCATTGTTTTAATGTAAAAAACACTGGATCCTAAAATAAAAGATCGATGTTTGATCAATTTTAACTTTGTTTTAATTTTTTCAATATCTATTTATGGTGTTTTATGAAGAATTTATTATATCTTGAAGATATAACAGTAAGTTGGCTTTCAAAGCAACTTACTGTTACTTCTGTGTTGGATGGTGAGAAAGGATTAAAGAAAAGACTTTAAAATATGTCTACTTAATTTTCAATTGAAAATGGTCCTGGGTTGTATCATCTTTATGCAATTAATGCATGATTTTTAAACAAATTTTTTGTTTTCTTTATTAAAATTGCCATTCCTTTCTATTGATCTACTACCTAATAAATATTTTTTAAGAAACAAGTTAAACGAGTTAAAAGAACAATTTTGTAATTAACAAACATATTTATACATGTTACATACTTTTCTATTTACTTGTAAAAATAAATAAATATAAAGTTTCAAGGAAGTTGATATCTACTCCTGAAAATTAACAAATATACATAAAAACAAAGAGAACAATTACATAAAATTAAAAATACATTACATTATATATTAAATATTAAATACAAATATACATTAAAACAAACAAGTATAAAAGTTCTTTGAAAGAATTTGTTTTTAAAGAACTGTTTTTCTTTGATGTATTTTTGTTAACCACTTTTGACATACAATAATTAATGATGCTAAAGTAAGATGTTCCAAACATTTCCATTTCCTAAGTTGAAAATAATTGATAACTTTAAGACTTATGAAGTATGAGTTATATCATATTTATATTTACATATATTTTACCAATATTTACAAAAAAAATTAATTAAAAAGATCCACCAAATTGTATGCTTGCTAAGCATACAAACATTTTTAAGTTTCTGTTGCTCAGTTAATTGCTACTCAATTAACTATTGCCCATTGTGAATATCAAACTTTAATTCATATAGTGAATACTGAAACTAAGGCTAAATCTCAATACAAAAGCAAGTTTCTTATGCAAGGAACCATTCGTTGTAGTGCTAAAATGATTACCATACAAGAAAAATTGCATATATTATTCTGGTTAGTGGAATTTACAATCCATAATTTTTATTCATTAAAAGTTTTTAGATGGAAATATCAAAAGTATCCACACCATGATTACAGATTGTTCAAACAGTTCAAGGAAACAGTGTTTTGAAACAAAAATTAGCCAGAAACCATGATCTTGGATGAAACTATGAAAATAAACAAATTTGATGGTCCCTGCATCCAGAGTCCCTAAAATGAAATAATAGTTCTTGACTATAATATGAATAGACAGTTGTTCATTCCACATTATAGTTTAGAACTGGTCATCCAAAATCAAGTCATTTCACATTATTCAAAATCATTTGTGCAAAATGTCATATGAAAGAGATTAAAAGCTAAGTACAAAATGACTTGCAGACATGATTTTCACTAAACTTTTTAGAGTATAAACAGATCTGGTTATAGGCTCATTATATTGTGGTTTAAACTTTATTACAAAATGCCAGTCATCCATCTTTGAGCTTAGTCTAAACAAATTTCAATGAAATTTTGGCTATTTCATTTACATTATTATTATTCTCAGCTTTTGATGTTGTTTAATCAATCAGTGAATTATTTCATTACATCACAAAAATGTCAGAAAATGTAAATATTAATTGTACAAATTCTGACATATTTGAAAATGTAAGTTTCAAATATGTCAGAACTTTACAGAAAAAGAAAAACAATTGTAGATTAATTAATTCATAACTATCCAATCATTAAGAAAAAGGATATGACAAAAAAATTCCGAAATGGAAGAAATTGTATATGAAGAAATATGTAAAGAATTTTCTTCAGCATTTTGTGTCGTCACTGTACAGTTGAAAGGCAAGTTTGTCTTTATAAAATATTCAGTTAATAATATAAAATTTATTATTTCTTATACAATATGCCTTTCGTAGTTAATTAATAATTATTAATTGTAATTAATTGTCATATATGCTATATAACATTTTACAAACAAAAAGTGATTTTAACCTATTAGTAATATTCCAAGTTATTTTAGGGGTTTCACACAGAGACTTGAGACTATTATTTTATTGTAAAACTATCAAGTAAATTGTACATCATTAAAGTCCAACATCTAAAATGCATTTCAGCACTTTTTGCTGTGTCCTCTTACTGTTTATGTAGTAGTGGGTAACTGTAGACAGTGAACCATAGTTTATAAATATTAATAAGTGTATGATTTTAGAGATGTTGTTGTGAAGATATTGTATTGAGTCTGGATGTATTGTGTAAAATGTTGATAAGAAATCTAACAGAAGAGGGCATAGAAAAAAAGTGTTGAAATGCATTTTAGATGTTGGAGTTGAATGATGTATTATGCTTGATATTTTGCAATAAAGTAATGGTCTCAAATCTGTTTATGTGATATATTCCAGTTATTTTAGGAGTTAACAGTATATGATAACTACAGTCGACCCCCCTATAACGTACGTTCCTATAACGACAATTCCTATAACGTAGCGAAAAAATTGTAGCAACTTTTGTATAACGTACTTCCTATAACGTCGTTTCGCGACAAGATTGATAGAGTCTGGACCAATAGTGGATGAGCAGCCGAACTACTTTCCTCCGACCCTGCGCCACGCTACGGAGCGGCTAAATTGAGTTTGCTATCGTCTGTTTAGTATTATATATAAATTATATATAAATTAGGTACTGTACATATAATTATATATTAATTATATATAAATTAGGTACTGTATATATAATTATATATTAACTTAATTTATTGTAACTTTATTATAATTATATATATGCTTTCTGCCGCCTGGCAACACGCTACGGAGATTTTAGGCTAGTAAGTTGAGTTTATTATCGTCTGCACAGTATGTAAATTAGGTACCGTAAGTCTAATACAGCACTAATTTTATACATTTCTTGTGAAAGAAACACTTCTTATTCAACGGCCATAAAAATTATTTATATTAATGATGTCTCCAAAGGTCAAGTTATTTTTCTGCGAAAAATTCGTTATCAGAAATCGCGGCCGCCGTTTCGTGTGCTGTTCCGCGACGAAAACAAGCTTTGAACAACGGGCGTAGTCGAACGGTACACACTCGGTAAGTAATCCTATAATTTTTTGTTTATAGCATAGTTTATACGGATTACTCCCAAAAAATTATACGTGTTTTGGAAATGTTGAGTGGAATTAGTCTAGAATCGGTTAATTTTATAGAAGAAAACCTTTCGAACAGCCTTAGTCCATAAAGTTCCCACCTATCGGGCTGCGATTGGCTCATTCCTACAACGTAATTTTCGGTTAGCGTGGAACGTATCTAAGCGTTATAGGGGGGTCTACTGTAATTAATAAAAAAAGGGGGATAAGAAGCTAGTGGGTAGACATATAACATGTAGATTATTAAAATTAATTAATAGGTAGACAGATTTTACTATTAGTAAAAATCACCTATTAATTTAATAATCTGATATAAAGATTTAAATGACATAATATATATTTGATATAAATTTGAAATACAATTGTACAGTAGTCTACTATCTATTTTATGTAATATTTAATATGTAGTATGTTGCAGACAATTAAAAATAAAGGCAAAAAAGGTAAAAGATTACGTGCATCATTCTGGTAGTTGAAGGGAAGAGGATCACCACCACCATTTTCACTGAACATGTTAACTCAGGTGGTTCTGTCTGTGTTGAGTAACATTATTGAATAGTTATCTAATCTAGATGATCCATCTTCACCATTAATCATTGCAAATAAAATAATAATGAATTAAATGCATATGTTTGCAATGTTGCAGTTGCAAATGAATTAGAAAATGTCTTATTATGTTTATCAGTAACATTAAGTGATGGTTGTGGAAAAGAATGATTGAGACATTCTCTGTATAGAAAGAAACAGTATTAATTTTTGAGTTTATAGACTGTAAGTTTTTAGATGTTCTTAGCAAATGCTGAGTCCTCCACATCCTGAAAAACCTGATTTTCTTAAGCCTAATGTTCTTTCATCTTTCCAGTTATGATAAAAATTAATCTGAAGTGATTCCAACTAAAGATTGGAGTATTCATATGCAAGAATTAAGAACTAGTTGATTCAAAAACATTTTAGTTGTTTCCAAGAACTTGTGCTAGGTATTTAAATATTGAAAGTTCTTGGATGTAACTTATGAATTCACACAACAATGAACAAGGCCAATTCAAGTATCAAGAATTAGTATATCACTCTGATGTCAGAAATTTTAATCACATTACAATACTACAGAGACCAAGTTATTCTGTGATCTTAACTACTCTAACTAATTGTTAACTTCAATCTATGTAACTACCAACAATATTAATCAATGTATTCTTGAATACTCAGTACTATTAGTTACTGATTACTCCATAACCTGTACAAGGCAAATTGGAGCAACATATGTTACAGTTATTCTCATTGATTCAATGAATTACATTCTTTGCTTATTCTCAAGAATTTGGTTTTCAGAAATTCATTTGATTTTTAAAAATATTCAATTCTGCTTCTAGTTAACTCAACAAATAATAATATTAACAAAGATCTTATGTTTGTATGTCCCTTCATCACAGCTTTTATTTCTCTGAAGAGGTTCTAGCTCATTCTCAGACTATAGCTTGTCTGGCTCTGTAGTGATTGTTATTCCTGGAGATGATTTTACTTTTCATTTATTTCTAGAGATCTTAATTTTCCTTTTATTCCAGTTATATTGTGTTCTTCATACCCAAAACCTTTTTTTTTTCTGCATTTAGTAGGTTTTCATTTTATTCAGGTTTAATTTTAGACAAACTTAATGGCTTTCTTGTAACTAGGGTACAGTGAAGGAGTTTGGAATTTGTTCTATCTGAAGGAAAAAATCTACGTTGCAATTATAAGTGTTATGCTAAGCAGTCTTGATCAAGTATGATTTGAAATTGCCATTTGTTTTTGAAAATTCTGTATAATTTAATGTTTAAAAATAATTTCAGCTTAGTATAGTATAACATTTTTATTGAATTTCTTATTTTATAAAAGAACTTAGATTTTATTATTTGAAAACATTATATCTACTTAAATAAATATATTGCCATTGAATGTTTTATTCCCATTTAATAAATTAAAAATTTTGTTTTCAGACTTAATCGTTGTTGTGGCATCTATTGTTGTCTTGGCTGTGGGATCTAATGGCCAAGTATTTGCTACATCAGCAATCAGGTAAACTTTAATTAAATTTTTACTAAAAACTGAAAAATTCATGTTTAAAGAATGTTTTTAGGGAAAATATAGTGGTTAATCTTATGCAAAAATTTTGTTAATAAGTAGTAATGTATTAGGCTACCATAAAATAGGATGAATAGAAAAAACTTCAAGAAAATTCTGTATGTGTCTGACAAAAAACTAACCAACAAATCAGAAAATTCTCTTTGGACATTATTTTTTAAAGGATGGACATTGTTTAGTTAGGCTATCAAACATTGTTCTAAATGCCAGACCTGTTTGCATGTTATGTTGGTTGGATACATTCTTTTGAGGTTTGACAGATTTTGTTGGTGTCATATTATAGGTTATTAAAATATTATGCTGAGTATTGTCCTAGTATCATTTCATTAAATTTTTATTTAAATCATTTATATTTAAAATGATTTTTTTTATAATCATTGATGCAATCATCTTCTTGCAATGTAATTATTTTGAATTTGTGGGATGAATAGAAACAAAACAAAAATGACTGTTTCTATTCACCCCATACAACTTTTATCAATACCAATGATTTAAAATTTGAATAAGTTTGACCTAGCTCTGAAGTAGCTAAATATAGTAGATCTATTCTCTGTATAGGTTTTGATTTATTTTAGTGAGGACACTTCTCTTAAAGTTGGTGACTTCTCTGCAGTGAAGGGATATAGAAAGTAAAAGAAGTACAGGAGATTATGTTGAAAAGTGTGTCAAATTAAAGAATGTGGCTACGTGGGGCTCTTTCTACTGGAGAATACCATAGACAATGAGATTTTTGGAGACTTGTGAGAACTTTCACTTTACATATTGGGAAACTTTTTGCCCATTACCAGTTCTTCAGTATGCTTCAAAAACATGATACATTTTCCTGATGACTTCAGTGACTTGAATATTTTCGAAAAACTCTTCCATTTTTATTTATGTAATCAGTTTTACAGATTACCCACGCTACTTGAGCAGAGTTTTGTAAAAACTCTAGAATTTATACAGAAAGAAAACAATGTGCATAATATAAGGCCTATGTAAATAATATAATTTTTTCAAAAAAAAAGAGCATTATTTTCAATTCTTCTAGTTATAAAATAAAAACAAATATGGCTTTTAAGTTAGTTTTTATTCTTTCCAATCCATGGTGTGAAAGGAAATATCAAGTAAAAAAGAAAAAAACAAGGAATTTGATTACTTCATATATCATCTACTGAAGTTGTGAAAAAGGATAAGACTGATTTTTTTAAGACTGCTTATGTATATACAGTAGAGCGTCGATTATCCGAAAGTCAATCATCCGAAACATCAATTATCCGAAAGAATTCCAGTCGGCAAATTTAAATTTTTGTCAGTGCTGTGGCGCTGCAATCTTTGGCTATGTCTTGGGCTACTCAAATATTTTACGTTTCTGATACTAAATTAACTTCTGAAGTATAATTTTTTATTGTTTTTATATTTTTCAATATATTAATTTTGTTTGTACAAAATAAAAAAATAATTTTTAACGATACAATAGTCTTCGTTAGGCTTAACATTGACGAAAATTCAACGTAAAGCGATACGCAACGGAGAAAAATTTCAACATCGGATACGTTAAACTATTTTTTTCGTGCATAATCGGTTATCCGAAATATCAGTTATCCGAACAACCCCATTCCCCAATTGATTTGGATAATCAACGCTCTACTGTATACTGTATGTATATATATATATATATATTTATATACTGTATTTACTTGTATGTAAGACAAGGTTTTTATTCAATTTTCACTGCTTCAAAAAGTAAAAGATTCTTTGCAATTTTGCAATAATTTTTATGAACTGTATATTTGCATTTTTTACTGGATGCTCATCCTCTGGTGTTTAAAAACAAAAGTATTTTATCTGGGTTGTTTGAATTGTTCTTGTGTATTGTCAGGAGTAAAGACGAATAGCAATAGGAAAAACAAAGCTTTTAAATTAAATTCTAAAATCACACAGAAGCCTGATATAAGTTTTAATCCATTCCAACATGAAAACAGATGATTATTCGGAAATTAGAATTTGGAGAAACTCATAAGTGTAATCAACGGAGAGTCAATTCAGCTGTTAAAAATTGGCAATAAAAGTTCTCGATTATCCAGCTTTACATGAACAAATTATGTTGTCGATTTTACAAGATTATTCCTTAAAGTTTAAAATACCAGTAATTTTTGCAGGACAATGTGTGCATTTATGTTCATTTGATATTTTATTTGTGATTAAACGAAATAAAATTTGAATTGCATTAATAAATCTAATTTTCTTTATTTTGATCTTTAAAGTCACACCTCGTCCTATATGTGAGATTGCCTTATACACAAATAAATGTGTTATATATATGTTACTGTGAATGACCGATATCTGGCAAATGTCGAGATTTCCCGGTGAATGTCAGCATTCACACAGTTGTTTTGTGTATGTACAAAATATTTGCTAAATATCATTATTTCTCACTTACACCGGCAAATGTCGACATTCAGTACGCACTGATGGTGAATGTTGAATAAAAATATTTTTATTATGTTAAGACAAAAATGCAACTTTTTAATGTCAAAATAAGAGAAAACTTAAATAACAGCACTTGTAAATAAACTGTTGAACCTAAAACGAACAGTACATTCTTAATCAGAAAAGAAAAATAATACACAAAATTACACATACACATATATTATGTGATTAATGGTATATAATTTTATTTATTGCAACTACTTAAACTGTTAAGGCACTTTGAATTGCACAAGAGTACCTTGTTTTACAACTGCATTTATTCGTGGAACACTTCTTTTTGCAATGACAGCGTGTATAGCCTTGCCCTCCACTTTTCAAATTAGCTGCAGCTGCTTCCCTCAGCAATATTTCTTGAGAAGAAATCTCATCTGTAGAATGTAACTTTTCTTTACAAATTACAAACTGATTACTGGTATAAAGCTGCTCGAGGGTACCATTTTTGTTTGCTAATTTATAAAAGTTGGAGTCTTCTATTCCATCTACAACCGCCAACACATTTTGGGCATCTGTACGGCCACGGTTGATATCAGGGACTTGTATTCTTACGGTATCACCAATTTGAGCAGAAGGAAGCGGCAAAAAATTTGGCGACAGACTGTCACCTCTCTGTCAACATCAGCTTCTTGGGTGTTGTTTCGACCTCCACCAAAGCTTATCTGTGCTTGTTGACATACACCGCCGATTGTTCGAATGTATAATAATATAACCAAATATTTAGTCTCTCACTGACATATTTTATATGTGTTGACATTCACCGGAGAATATCGACATTCTCTAATTTCGGTCTTTCACAATAACATATATAAACATTTGCTGCCAGGTGATGCAGTTTGCGTCATGTGAAATTATGACACAAAATTAAAACGTGTTAATATAAAAATAATTGTTTATATGCATGTGTTGTTGTGTGTCCTTGAAAATTAAGTTAACAACTAATTGAATGTACTTTCTTACTTTCTTGTGTACCTGTCTTTGTCTTTCTTTACTTGGACACCATTTTATTTGAAAGAAATGGCAGTCCTCCTGACCAAAATTTAATTTACAATAATCTTACCATTAATTAATAACATAAATAGAAAATAATCAAAATAAATGCATGTCAACTTGGGGTTATTTTTAGAAGTGTTTCTGTGGGAATGAGGGTAAGTTTGTTTTCTCTAAGTTGGTGTATTTATTAAATCAGCTGTTTTCTTACATGTGAAACAGATGCTGTTTAGCTGCTGTCCACTCTGATCAAATATTGTCTGTTGGGTCACTCTTTGTTTCATTTCTTCCATGGACTTTACTAAAAGATTATGCTCCTGGCACCATCCTCTGATTCATTGAAATTACTGAGCTTGCAAGCCACTGCCTTATTGAGGTGGTGGTTTGTGAGATATTGATATTATTAATTATTAATGTAGTTGATAAGTAAAATAAAAATGAATTAATATGATTAAAAAAATTTTGTCATTTGATAGGCATTTGTATCTTGCACACATGAAGTTTTGAAGGTTCCTGCTCAGTATTATTTTTGTTTTACTTATTTTATAATTACATCTATAATGAGGAAAAAAGAAAAATAATGTTTTAATTATAAATGAAACACTATTGAATTCTCAATAATTTTCCTACTGATTAATCCAATCTGATACTTGTTTCTATCCATACTCTACAGATGTTGGTAATAAAGGAAAGTCTGAAAACTCATTGGTTTAGAGAGCATTCATTTTGTTTATTAATTATTTAAATTCAAATATAAAGAAATAAAAGTTGATAAATTAATTTAAGGGCTCCTTAAACTGTTGTAATTGTCTAATTTGCCTACGCTTGGTTCCAACCCTATTTATAGGAAAAATTTCACACACACCTTGAATTAATTTATAATGGTAAAATTGCCAGATAAAAAAAATTGTTGCAAAACCACCAGCTGGCTTGAAATGTTACCAAATCTGACAATAAATTGCCAAACCTGACATTACTCATACCATTGCCCATCTATCACTAAAAACACATCTGTTCTCTCACTAAATAGTGTTCATATTGAGTTAGTGCCCCCTCTACCCCAACATTCATAAATCATATGACCATTGATGGGAATTCCATGTGGAGAGGATGTTCTGTCTATCATGGATTAGTTTTACAACACAGTATGTCTAACACTGTCTTCAAATGCTCTTATTGCACAATGATGCAAAGGATGCATATCAAAAAGGAGAGAGAGGAATCAGTGCATAGGTTTACAAAATGAACCAATTCTGATATATTGGGAATATTTTGATATGCTAATACATTGACATCAGTTATCATCTCTAGTGTTAATGTCTGAGAGATTGCAGTAAGTTTTACACTTTTAACATTGTTGCAGATACACAGAATATGTAGTATAGTGAGTTATACATAGGTTTTTTTTTTTTTTTTTTTTTTTGCTTTAGTAATTTTCTATGGAATATACTGTCCACGTATAATTATAGTGTTTTCAAGTACTTGTGCAAAAAATTAACATAAAAAAGATTTAACATAAAAAAACTTAGTTTTACTTTATTTTGCATTAATATATGTTGTATACATCTTACTTATCTTATTTTATATTTTATTTTAGGGGAATTCGTTTTCTACAAATTTTACGAATGCTTCATGTTGATAGACAAGGTGGCACTTGGAGATTACTGGGATCAGTTGTATTTGTTCATAGGCAGGTTAGAATGTTTTTCTAAAGTACTTACCAATGACCATCAAAATGTATTATAATAGAATAAATCAGTAATACTAGTAATACTTATGTATAGTATGTTTTTATATATTAAATTTTATTGTGTGTTTATGATAAAATAATTAATGTAACTTAACAGTAAATTACTATTATATTATTCATGTATGGGTAATTAAAAAGTAACACTATAAAGCCAGTAATATAGAAAAATATTTTATTTTGGAGATGAAAATATACAGGATTTATCTGCAAGCAATATACTAATTGTTTTTTCTCACAAAATCACCTAAACTGCAGACCTTATAAATTACTTATCTGATCATCTCATATAACATTGAAGCAAATATTATAAAACAAAATACTTTTGAATTATATTTTTGTTCTTTCTAGTAATATTTCACTAAAATTTATTTATTGCATTGTGTTTTAAAAATTTTAATATAAAACCAATAAAATCTGTTATATTTAAATTTCTATGTAAAATTAATATGTTCTACTTGATATCAATACTATTTAGTCCAAATTATAGCCTAGATATCATTCATTTAATTTATTATTATTTTTAATAATGAAAACTCAAAAACTTGATTGAAGTAGATAACATTATTTTGAAGTTTTTTTAATATGAATAGATGTTCATATATTGAAGTAATTTATAAGTATATGAAAACTTAAAATCAATTCTGTACATAATAAAAATATTGTATTTATTAATTAAATTATTATGGTTATTTTTAGTTATTATTTTTTGTTTAAAGTTTCCTTAATATCATCTGTGTCTGTACTAATTTTACAATCTCAGAAACTTTTTCCATTAAAACCAGTCTCTAAATTAAATAAGAAAGTTTAATCACTATAATTTTAAATACTAAAATGTACTAAAATTTTTAGATAAATATTACTTACATGAAACTAAAATATATGAATATATTAATGGTTCCAATCTATTTTAAAGATGGTTTTCCATTGTAGCAATTGACTGTAATTTTGTTAAGACAAGTTACAGCATCACTCTGAAGATATTCATTTATAATTGTGAATATGAAGTTTTAGAATGGAAATGTTGAACATAAACAATGAAGCAAAAATACTATAAGTTCAAATCTAATAACAAGATTATACAAGATGTCATATTAAAAATTCTACATTTTTGAAAATCTACAAACATATTATAATTGGAAAAAAACAAAAAATTACATTACAGTAACATTTACTGTTTTACAGATATTTTACACAAATAGAAAAATATTTTACTATTTTATTACATTGATTGTATATGCAGTATCAATGTAATAAGAGAGTAAAATATTTTTCTATTTGTGTAAAATATCTGTAAAACAGTTTATAGTATGAAACATAAAGGATAAGGGAATTGTTTTTAATGAGTTTTTTGAAGTATACAATCTGGAAGTATATGAATTTTAAAAATTGTTTGTAACTATTAGTTTTGAATCTAAATATTGCTGAAGAGGGAATGAAAGTATACATCATTCCAAAATGAATATTTAACAGTAATTTAAGCAAATAAAGTCATCATCAAGTGAAATCTTTGAATGTTAGAAGTGCTGTTTCAAAATTGTCAAACTCATCTGAAAGTTTACACAAAAAAGGATAGAATTTCAGCATGTCTTAACCGCATTTTGAATTATTCAAAAAATATAATGGAATTACTTGGATCATTATTCAAACACTTACCTTAAGAATAATTTTTTCCAGGAACAAATTAGATTAATTTATTAGAATGTTTGTGTAATATTTTATTTTTCTCAGACAGTATTAAATATAATATTTTAACTAATTGTTTATCTAATTAGTATTTTTTCACTTTATGCTTTTCTGACACTAATAATATATCAAAACTAAAATATTCCTGTTCTTTAATTAAATTATAAATTAAAGTTAATGTGATAAGTAATTGTTGAAAATATAATTACAGTATTTTTACTTAAAGAATTTGTGTTGTTTTCTATCTTATATCTAAAAAGAATTCATGTTTTTAAATGGGATATTTATATATATCATATTCTGAAGTAGCTTTTCTAATGAATTAAAAATATTTTATCAAGTAATGAAAAAAAGTTTTTGATTGTTAGTTTTTAAATAATTACAATTTTATACATTTAAAAATGTATAAAAATGGATTATGCTTGTATTTTAAGATTTAAAAAGGAAATGTAAAAAGGTTACTTGAATTTAAATTCATAGAAAAAAAAATCAATAAAATAATAGGTATATTTTTTTAAATAAAAAATTGAGAAATCTTATATATTTCTTATTTTCTACTTTTCAGGAATTAATAACGACATTATATATTGGCTTTCTTGGACTCATTTTTTCATCATATTTCATGTATTTAGCAGAAAAGGATGAATTAGGACTGAAAGGAGACACAGATTTTACTAGCTATGCAGATGCATTATGGTGGGGAGTGGTATGTCTTTCAGTTTTGCTATATTTCCTTTATGCATTTATTTCATGGAAATATGCTGCAACTTCATTGTATGCACTGATCAGTTTTTTTTTACACTTCACTTATTTTTTATTTTGTTTTAGTTTTGCTTGACAAGTTATTCCCTGGCATGTAATATTGAGTTTGCTTGCACTTTCATTTGACGCCATCATCTTACTTCTCAGAAAATAATGACAAATATAGCCTGCTGAGCTTTTTCATCATTCTCTGATACTGTAAGTCTGAGTGTTTTCTCAAACACATAGCATGAAATAAATGAAATTGCACATTTTTAGTCAAGTGGATCAATATTTAGATTCTAATTATAATGAAGAATACTGCTAAAATAATATTGCAACATGCAGAAATTATTGGAATGCTCAAAATTATTTTTATTATGTTTAGAAAATTATTTCACTTTCATTAATAAAACTTATTTTGTTGATATTAATTCAAAAATATATCCACAATAAAAAAAAAATTATTGTTTGCATCATAATGGCATATTTTGGTAACTGGATGTAAGGTTAAACATTTTAAATAATCATAAATTTGATTATTTAAAAAGTATTAGACTATATTAAATAATCAGAATTTAAACATTTTGAGATGTGTATGAATTTCATATTAATTGAGAGACTTTTTTTTTATCTTGAATAATTGGTTTTGCAAAATTAATCAAAAAATACAAACACAGTAGATTCTGCTTGTAAATATTGTAAATTACAAACACATACAAGTTAAAATATACTTATTAAACTTTGCTTATAGTAATCTGAATTTCAGATATATCTTTATCTTTAGATAATCATTTTTAAACTATTTTTACTTTCCACAACAACACTCACAACATTATATGGCTGATAGCATTCAAACTTTTATCAGGCTTAATAAATACTTAATCATTAAATTGAAACCATTTTCAAAAATACATTTATTACTGTTTAAATGCATTAACTTTTTGCAGCTGCATTTTCAGTGATATAGTGCACACATTACATTCAGAAGATAACTTTTTCTGGTTTTGATATTCAAAACTTGGGTTCACTTAGAATTGAGAAAACACAGTACATCCAAACTGTTTTTATTACATGTTTTAGATATAATAAAAACTTAAAAACTGTCTGTCTGGCCTTAAATCCACTATTCTATAGGTTAGACAACACAGATTACAGATAACATATCAAACATAACAAAACAACATATTACATAACACAGTAAATTTTTAAAAATTTTCAAAAACAGACAAATATACAGGGTGATTCAAAAGTCACAGAAATTTTAAAAAATTAATAACTCACAAAATATTTACAGTGTGATGATGTGGTTTTCAAACAAATGCTTATAAAGAAGCAGGATTTTTTTTAAGTATAATAAAAATTTTAGTACCAAAATAGTTACATTTCTTGCCATAAAAAACTATAAAAAATTGAAATCATTTGTAAATTTGTTAAAGTAAAAATAAAAAATAAAAATGTTCTTAGTGTAAGCACTAGTAACAATTTTACAAATTATGTAATCTTATCAAGTGCCATCTATAACAAGAAATGTAACTATTTTGGTACTAAAATTTTTATTACACGTAAAAAAATTTTATTTCTTTCTAAGTATTTCTGTGAAAACCACATCATCTTACTGTAAATAGTTTGTGAGTTATTAATTTTTTAAAATTTCTGTGACTTGAATCACCCTGTATTAAAAACATCTACATTCTGTCCTTTCTTTACACCTCAGGAAGTAAGTCTTGCAGTGGAATTGAATTTTATTTGGAGGCTTGTTTCCCACCTTGATATGTAAAAACATTATAAAATATCCTCTGGTGACAGCACTATTAAAATACACTTAATAAAATTGTGATTTTGTAATGTTTTTACATATTGAGATTGGCAAGATTCCTGCAAATTAAGGTTGACTCTGCCTTAAGACTGTTATTTCATATTAAGGTGGTGATTTTTCAGTGGTTTTTTTGAGGACCTATGATAAACAGAAAAAAAAATGTTTTCACTGAAATTTTTACACAGTTGTATAGATAGCATGTAACATGAGGATATTGTGAAAGCACAGCTAAGTAAGTCAATTTGATGAAAGATGCCCTTGAAAAATTAGTAGGTGCAGAAAATTCCTACTGTTATATATGATCATAGATTAAAATTGCACACCCTTTTTGTAAATGTCTTCTTTTGCTCTTGCACATTTTTATTTTTTATTTACATAAGATTTTAAGTTAGTAGAAATGGCCAAGGCATTTAGTAGTTTGTGGATAATATGGTAATATATAGCCTTTTGTATGAATCACTATGCATGTATTATTAGACATATTCACTATTTTATTTATTATTATAACAAACTATTTTTGTTTGCTGTAATAATAATAATAACTCTCTGGTGGTCACCACCTGGTCATGGTGGGAGAGCCCAGTAATTTTACTGAACCATAGAGCAATTCAGGCTGGAGCACAAGCTCCTGGTAGGGACACCCATGCCAATAAGGTCTATGGGGAGAAATGAAGCTAAGAGTGACCACACCCACATTCTGTGGAGATAATTATTATGGTAGTAACCAGATCTAAGTATGATACCAGTTCGGAGGTTGCCTGGGTTAACAAGGTCCGCGTTTGTGGGTTAGGCAGAGGCTCACGTTCAAAAAATAGGCCACAATATCTCTTGGTTACTGGTGACGAAAGCAGTGCTGGCACAAGCATGGCTACTGCAATGCCCTCAACAGATGTGAGGAATCAACCTAGCCTTGGTGTTTCTGTGGCAATGCATTCACAGACCACAAAGGCTGGAAAACCACACCAATGGATGAAATGGACGAGTTTATCATCTGTACTTACTACACCATCACAAAACTCAAAACAAACATGACAGTGTACAGACAACAACTACACCATAGATTCATACAACAATATCCTCACCTCACTGTCACCAAACAAAGGGTTGTCTATCAAAAAAGAACAATTATACACAACAACCTTATCCCAAAAACAACATTTGAACTTATCAAACAACAGGTTGCTACAGGTTGCTGATCAAATACATCAACAGACAGAAACATTTAACATTAATGAAGATCACGTAACCTGTCAGGATAATCCAGCAACAAGCATTGATAATAGCACACATACAACAACTACCACTAATGATAATACAGACACTTCCTTGTTCACCAATGATAACATAGACATAGAATTAGTTAATACGCTCTCACTTATATTTCAGGAAACACTCACTAATCACACAGATCAGTGAGATCAGTGTGGCTACAGATCCCACACAAAGACCACAAATACCAGAAATTAACACGTCAAAGATAGTAGGAAAAACACTAAATTATGTAAACACTCACTTACTACCATACTACATCCATTTAATTTCTACACTTTCAGACATTCATATATTAGTTTACGCTGGGGCAGTCACTAGCATGGACTGAAAATACAATCACAGATAGATATACTGTATCTGTCTGTCTGGCAGAGAAGAATAGAAATGCAAATAACTGACATTAGACAGCAATTAGGCAGGCTGACACAATACACTAAAAACAACATAACACCTAAATTAAACAAACAACTCAAAAACATTTTCAAGAAAATCAAAACACACACAAAACATGAACATCACAACACACACATTACAGAATACTTTGATACACTAAAACAAAAACTCGCAGCCAAAGCACATAGACTCAAATGATACAAAACATGTACATTACGAAAACAACAAAAATAAGTTATTTACAAACAACGAAAAAACTTTTAAAGACAAATTAGTACTAAAACAAACACTGATACACAGCACAGTGGCACACCAACAGAAGAAGAACTCACAACTTATTGGTCTTCTCTTTGGTCCAATGCCGTTACACACAATGCTGATGCAGGCTGGATCGAGGAGGAGAACAGAAACTTGCACAACATACCAACTATGCCCTGTGCTGAAACAAACATGCATGACATCCGCTACGCTGTTAACAGAACACACAACTGGAATATACCTGGTGTAGACAATTTCTGGTACAAAAAGTTTAAATCACTGTACCAGGAACTAGCCAAACATCTAACACACATCATCATCAATCCACATACCAAAATTTCTTACTCATGGCATCACTTACATGAAACCTAAAAATAATATCACAGACCCCACACAATACAGACCAATTACATGTTTTCCAACACTCTACAAATTATTGACATCCTGTATCACAAACAAAATATACAAACATGTTGAAGAACATTACATTCTTATGGAACAACAAAAAGGTTGCCATAGAAATCACAGGGGATGCAAAGAACAGTTACTCATAGATTCAGCCATTCTACGGCAAGCACACAAACAACACAGAAACATATACATGGCATATATAGACTACAGAAAAGCATTCAACAGTGTTCTACACAGTTGGCTGCTACATATTCTACACATGTACAAAATACATCCATCACTCATTGCATTCTTCCAAAACACTATGCAGCACTGGAGAACAACACTGCATCTCAGGGTTAGTAACAGTTCCACATAAACAAACCAAATATTCATTAGGTGAGGAATTTTTCAAAGAGATTCCTTGAGTCCTGTCTGGTTCTGCCTAGCCCTGAACCCATTATCCAACATGTTAAACAACACACAATATGGCTACAATATCAGACATGAAAAAAACAACACAGTTTACACTGTCACATCTCATGTACATGGACGACATAAAACTTTATGCATCCACACAAAAACAACTTCAGCAACTCCTACAAATCACACATTCATACACTAAGGACATACAAATGGAGTTTGGCTTAGACAAATGCAAAACACTTCACATTATTGAACAATAATGTTGATGGCCTATGGAATAGGTCGAAAACATTTGTTTTAAATAAACTTTCTTGGCAACAATAAAGGTGTTTGGTTATTGTTTAATATTTTGCTGAGCACGTTCTATTTAATGACATTATTGAATCCATGGAAGAGGGCGAGTTCTA